CCTGTAAGATCATAACATATACTTTAAAAATTATTTTGCTCGATATGAGAATAATGGTATTTCTTTAATAGGAATTAATTGAACACATTAAGGCTACATCTCCAGCTGGAGCTTCTGTGAACCAAAACATACATTTCTGTCAAGAATACAACTCTAAACGTTTCCGTAAATTTGATTACAGCATTGTACGTAACCCATACGAATATGGCACTATGTATCCACCAAATTACAAGCTTAAAAACGCTAAAGCTCCAGTACTGTTGTACTATGGTGCTAACGATTGGATGTGTGATGTTTCTGATGTTCGACAATTGCGTGATGAATTACCAAATATGCAATTGGACTATTTGGTGCCATTCGCTAAATGGGCACATCTGGATTTCATTTGGGGTACCGAAGCTAAGAAATATGTTTATGACAAAGTATTGGAGGAAATGGAACAATATGAATAGATTATTTGATTTATATAATAAATATTGAAAAAGTAATCCATAATATTTTATTTTATAATTTGACCATTTTTTGCATATCTATTGTAGTATCATTTACGATTGATACGATATTGAATTGCAAAATGAAAGGGAAATGATTGACATGCTTTCATAATATAGTTAATCGATTATTGTAAAATGTTCAGCAATTTAATTTATTAGTGCAAATCGAAGTACAAATGTTTGTATATATAAAGAAATTAGAAAGGTGGAAATGTTTCTGTAACGCTAATATTATTCTCGTGATATTATATCGAATAAGTTGACCTTCTCTACCTCACTTAGAGTAGGTGAATGACACTTTGTCGTCTGTTAAGAAGAGTAGTTCTAAGACATGTACGATACCCGCTCTTTCAACCTCTGATAGAGAATATGTAGTATTAAGAATATTAAGACTACAATAAGTCATAAATGTTCCAGTCTACTAAAAATGTTGTTGCTTATTTACAAAAATTAATTATTTCTGTTATTATAACCCTTTGCGGGACCTAATTTCAGGAACTAAGACTCTGTAAGTAGAAATGAAGTTTCAGTTAGTGTACCATATATAATGGGCTGCGGTTATTGCATTACATGATCACTGTACAATCTATTGTAAACGTAAATTCTACAGGCACAACCTAGATAGAAGTGACAAAACAAGTGGCAGTGCCTTAATGCCATTGGTCAGTGGACTCAACTAGAAATGGAAAAGCTGCAAGAAAGAAAAGAAAAAAGAACTAAATAGTTACTTTGCAAATACACAGGCCTGGCAAGATTGAGACATTTCGCTATGGAAGTTTACGAACTCAAGTGAGTGGCGACCACCCACTCACAGCTTCAAGCGTAGCTCTTCAAAATAAATGTTCTTTATCAATTGCGGAGTTTGATAAGAGAAAGGTTTACCACCCAATTAAATATATGCCATGCTTAACATACCGGTAAGGATAAAAGGTGAGAATTAGTTTAGATTAAAATAACCTGAAAACTATGAAAGACGATGTAGTAAGAATATTACGAAAATTAGCAGGATTGAAATAATCTGATTAGTATGAAAATGGTTATGGTGAGAAGAGTGAGTTATGCGGATATTTCTATTTTAGTGAAACACTTTTTTATTATAACCGCGTTTTTATGTATGTATGCATGAACTACATACATATGCATATGTTCATAATTTTTAAATTCTTAAATAATTATATATAAATATTATTAGTTTTTTATTATAGAAATAATTTATTTTGCAAAATACTACAGTAACAGTAAAGTGTAAACGATAAGAAATAAAAATATATATCTTATATCAAATAAATATATTTACAAATGAAATGGAATAATATATATAAGTATATATAAGATAATAAGAATATATTTACGTTTCAACCGGTAAATATTATACTACAAAAGTATTATCTGTATCAAAAAAAAAACATTTTAATTAAGTTTATGAATTCATTTCATGCCTATCGACTTTAATCTTCAAGCAAAGCAGGTGGTCAAACCGTGGTAGACGGTTCTCTCAGTGCGCCCCAAGTACTTTCTTTTAGTTTGATAAAATTTCAATTTAAAATTGTTATAGATAATAATATAAACAAAAATCTATATTTAGATATTTTATAGTTTTTCTAGAAACTACTTATAGCAAAAAACAAAAATAATTTTTAATTTGTCTGTGCAATTTGAACAATAACATATTGAGATTTTAATCACTGAAGTTTAGTGTTTTTTTATTTTATATTTCTACACAAAAGTGTTGATATTTATGATATAAGTTTTTTGTTAATCAAGTAGAACCCTTCACAAATATATTTTTATATACCCGATAAATTTGAACTTTAAAAAGTAATATTGAATAATTACTCCAATTTTTTAAATAGATATTTATATTTGTTTACTTTTCCTTAACTTCTGCATGCAACTCATGGTTCTCATTATTATCACCTTTGTGTATTATACACTTAATATCATAAAGTCCTGGTTTCATGAATTTCATAATTTTAGACTCTTTGAGTGGATAATTGTTAAGCTGATATTTCTGTTTTGGTAACGGACACGTCTCTGGCGTAGGTGCATTAGAATAATTTTTTAAGGAATCATAGAAAAAATTCTTGTAATGACTTTTTAAAAAATCACATATCCCTTTAGCTGATAATTTATAAATTAATTTCGTATCCTTAAATGCTTGACATTCAATCTGTAATGCAACAAATTGAAATTATAATATATAATTTGTTTGCAGTTATATTTATATAAACTTACCGTATCATCATTGGTTAATTCGACTAATAGGTTCACCGAGGCGCTAATTTTGTCTACTCCTTTTTGAAAATCAAGTTTAAATAAATTACTTTTTTTTGCATCTCCTTTGTACTCTAACGAAATTTCATAATTCTTCACATCTTCAGTAGAACATTTATTAAACAATAAAAGTCCACAGAAAAGGATGATTGAAATATAGCCTCTGAAGAAAACACTCATTTTTCCGAAATGAACAGTTAAAACAACGATAGTCTTATGATCCGAATGGAATAATTCAAACCTTTTTAAATAATTAATTTGCATGTCAAAATTGTTGACAGATTTAATTAATTATATAATTAATAAACGGAAATTGTTGACAACTTATTTGATTTTAAAGTTAAAAATTTTAATTGTTTATTCATAAACAAAGGCAATTAAATAATAATGACACAATTAAATAAATAATGACACTATCAAATTAATAATGACACAATTAATTAATAAATAAAATAGATAAAGCACGTAATTAAAGTATTTAATATCATAATGGGGTATTTAGATGTGAGTTCCTGTGGCCCAGCCATGCAAATAAATTGTAGTAAAATTGAGCAGGTTTTCTCCTTGACGTATCTCTGGCCGTTGCTGCAGATGATCAAACCAACGAGAAAGATTTAAGTAGTTTTCCTTATCAATAGGCGAAAGAGATTTCTGAAAGAGAAAGATTATATTATTATTTATAATATATATTAATTATTTAATAAAGTAATTAATATAAAAACTTAATTACTTTTTCTGAACCCAAAAACCATATAAATATTTTTTAATATAGTATAATTATTAACATTGTTATTTATGCAGAGATCTGCTTGCAATGTTTTTCTCTCTTTACTCTGTTATTTATCAACTATATTACCAACATATCCCAATTCTTGTACATATATTATTTGTTAATATCACTCTATAAAGCATAAATTTCAGTTAAGTTTAGAAACACAAAAAAACAAAAGACAATAAATTAACAAAATTGCAACGATGGAATCTTATGCATAACTCACTTAGATGACTTGTGTGACAGGCCATTGAAAATTACCTCAAAAGGGTTTAATACCGTAAGATGTCCCACGGAGGGCATTTGAATTTTATATATCGCATTTGATGGCAAGATCATAAAACGTATAACTATGTACGAATAATGCGAAGTTAGGCTAATTTAAGTGCCCGTAACCCAAATATGCGATTAAATTTAAATATAAAAATTGTTAATATATACACCTTAAATTTTTATAAAAACTGTAGGATCTCTTCGTAAGAGCAACGGAATAATTTTACTACCCTAAATTGTATACTTTAAGTTACTTGCATGATTGTGGCTAACAATTATTATGTCTTAAAAATATAAAATTTTACGCAGAATTTTATTTTTTCCAACTTACCACTAAGTCATATATTGCATAAAAAACAGCCAAATCTGCAAGAGTTATGAAGTGTCCTACTAAATATGACTTGCATAGGAACAATTTATTAAAATCTCTTAATAATCCTTGTGCTACATGCTTGTCTTTAGATCCTGGTGCTACATACAAAACAGCAAACTCAATCCATTGATACACTTGGGCTTCGATTTCACGTGTTGCACAACTGTTTTGTGCAGTTTCTGATTTTGATTCCTTTGCCAATGCGTTAAGAATAGTGGCAAAACCAGTAACTTTTTTGTTATCAATATCTGTACGTGTAACAACCTTTAAATTTACATTAATGATTAACTTTAAAATAAATTTAATTGTAACAACTAACCTTTTCTTCGTTGAGTGTCACCTTACCAGCAGGCACACCAAGACAATTGGCTATTTTAGTAATTGCATCTACGTCACACATATTTATTTTAATTAACTAAGTATATGATGATATATATTTTTATATTCAATAATAATTTTATATTAAATGTTAAAATTATATTTATGACGGCTTTTTAACACACCGTCTATTGGAAAACAGTTGTTTGACAGTTGATACAGCGAGATATTAAAGCAAATTATGGAGGTTAGAAATTTTGTAAAAATGTGGTAAGTAACTTTA